CATACCAATGCAAATTATTCATATCTATGTCATATCCCCCTTTAAATGTAAAAGAACATTTATATACAATATTTGGGGATATGGGTGCAGTTATTTCTCTCCAAACTGCTTCCTTCTGAATGGGCGCGCTGTTATTCAGTTATTTCATGGTACAACCTGTGTGTCAGGTTCATCTCAGTCGGCAGTTGAGTAAAGTAATTTTTTGAGGTTGTTCAAGGGCATAATCTATCATACCATATTGGGATAGAAGCAATCCACAGGGTCTCATCCTTTGTGAAAACAAAGGAACTTTTCCAAAGCATCGTAACTTTTAGATCCAAATTTTGAAGTCAAATATCTATCTTGGATTAGTTCAGCAGCATTTATCAACAAATATCTTTTAGCAGTTGTTGCTCCTTCCTCAGCATTCAAACAATTCAAAGAGAGCATAATAGCATACAGTATCAAGATTCTCTGTGTAATTTCCTTCTTTGTGTGACTTTATTTTAACCTCTGTTTCATTTATTTTTACTTTTTGAGACAGGTTCTTTGTATATCTTTGTCATGGAATAACTGTAGACCAGGCTGTCCTTGAACTCAGAGATCTGTCTCTGCCCGCCCAGTGCTGGGATTAAAGGTATGTGCTACCACACCTTGAATTCACAGAGAACTGTCTGTCCCTGCCTCCCAGGCATTGGAATTAAAGGCGTGTGCTACCAGACCTTGAACTCACAGAGGTCAATGTACCTCTGCCCCTTAAATTCAGAAAGGTCAATGTACCTCTGCCTCCCAAGTGTTGGGATTAAAGGTCTGTCACCATGAGCTCAGGGTTTACTTGATTCAGGTAAAGATTCAGCATGTTTGACCTGGTAGCTTGTTCCATGGTGTCTGATTCAGTTCCCTCCTTCCCAGCATTCTGTTCAGTCTACTTCACCTGTCTAAATCCTGCCTTATCAAAAAGCCAGGGCAGTTTCTTTATTAACCAATGAAAGTAACATATAGACAGATGACCCTCCTACATCAAATTTGCATCTTCAGATAGATGAATTGACCCCCCCCTCGTCCCCAAGTATCTCTCATCTGTACTACTGAAATTATATATAGTCAGACAAGTATAACAAAGGTTTAAATGAAATTAAAATGGTTGATTGTGAATTTAGTGACATAATGACTAAACTCAGAAATATCCTTTTTTTCTCCTCCAGTGAAAATATGGAAGGCACTGACAGAAAAGTTTCAGAATGCAGAATAATTGCTCTTATAGTCATCATCATGGGTGTAAAGTTAAACTACTCCTAAAAAGTATATTTTCCTGTAGACATCTCCTTTTGTTTCACCTGTTGGGTATTTCCTACCTTACGACATTTTTGACCATCATGTGCCCATTCTCAAGAGTGTTCCTACACTTGATATGGAATGACCATTGATTCTTTGTATTTAAACGCACTCCGCCAGGCCATGGATGAATGCTATGCACATAGTAAATTTTCAATGAGTAACGAATTAGGAATATACATCAGTGATAGTAACGGATGCTTGATTACAAAAGAAAATTCAGAGAAATTCTTTCACATAATTGGCTGAAATCAGAACTGATAACTATTAAAACAATTGTCTCAACACCAAGTGTCTTATTTGAGGATACATTAACGGACCTGAAGTTTACAAAAAGAAATGTCATCAAAGCAGATGTCTGTGACATCAGAGGAGAACAAAAATCTGTGTGGCATACTTTAAAGACTAACATAAACCAGTGTGTTTTATTCAGCAGATAACATTAGTCTGTTCGGGCATATTTTAAAGTTTTGTTTGTGTGGAGAATTGACTCAGTGGTTAAGAGCACTGGCTGCTCACAGAGAACCTGGATTCAATCCCCAAAACCCACATGGCTACTCACAATTCTGTAACTCCATTTCCAGGGGCATCTGACACCTTCACACCAACGCACATAAAATGAAGTTAAATTATTTTGAAAGATTTGTATCTGACTGATGTGGAAGCAAGTGTCTAAGCTATTGAGATCTTATGTTTTCATATACTCTATATTATAGGAGAATGTTTTCTTCAGGCTTATTTAACAAGTGAACGTAAAGTCTGTTTTCACTTTTAAGATTTGCTGGCCAGGTATTTTTGTGAAGATTTAATCAAAACATAGCTTCAGTTCATGCAATCTTGTTTCTTCTGTATTACAGAATTGCTGAATGTACAGATTTACTACAAAACTTAATTTTTGCCCATGTTTCACCTGCATTTTGGGGGGTATGTGGGGCAATATTTTTTAGATAAAATAAAAAAAGCTGGCTTTAAACTGCTTTATAACTGAGGGTATCTTTGAGCTCTTCTTCCTGTTTCCACTGCTGCAGTGCTAGAATTATGGGCAGGCACCAACTTCACCTACATTTAAAAAATTAGTATACAGGCTCCTCTGTAACACAGTGTTTCTGCAGAGAATTAAAGTTGTGCTTTACATATCTTTATCCATATGTTCTTATTTCAAGGAAGTAAGTGGAACACAGAGGAGGGACCATACAACCATTTGAGTTGTAGGTAAGGAGGAAATGAAAACCCCGAAGACCAGTGGTGAAACAAAATAGTTCAGGGCTTGGGAGTGTCCTCCTGGACAGCCAAGTAGTGAGCATGGAATTTTACAAGGGTAACATGATTATGATGTGTCATGAAAAGAGGTCATCAATGACTACTGACTTGCTGAAGGTGGTGGTTTTAAATTTATGCATCAATTGACACCCTGATTTTGTCATTTTTAGCTTGAAAAAGCATGTTCAGCTTTAACTGATGCTCGTTAGCAAATGTCCTATTTACCTATTTAATCTGAATAGATTTTCCTGATTTGGCAGAAGTGTAGGAAAATTGGGTTTGTAGTACAAACCGCTGCTTTAAAGAAGCCAGTTTCAAGAGTTAAGATAGAATGGAGGAATCTTTCCAAGGCCATATAAGTCTGATATATGTTTTTTTTTTTTTTTTAAAAAAAAAAAAAGTCCCAACATTTCTGTTTAGAACGTACTGAGGAGCAGAGACATGAACCCTTGCACTATAAATGGGAGACTTTGGGTAATTTAGAGAAACTGATTTGATTTCTGAAATTTGAAACAGGTCCACTGTGTCTTCTGAGAAGGGTAGCTTGTTATAAAAGGATAACCATGACACTGCCTAGGAACTCAGGGTCTGTAGAAGGAGGAGTGGTGGGCCTTTTCCCGCCACCCAGCTAGCTCAGTCAGTAGAGCATGAGACTCTTAATCTCAGGGTTGTGGGTTCGGGCCAGCTTGTTGGGGTTTCTGTCCGGCCCGGTACCCCACAACCAGAAAGCCCCAAAGAAAATCACAAGAGATCTACATAAGTTATAGAACTGATAGGCTCGTTAGCTCAGGCTTCTTGCTAACTCTTATATTAGCCAATTATTATGATCTATTTTTGCCATACTTTTTTTCAGCGTGGCAGCTCAAATGTTGCTTCTTCAGTCATCTGGGCAGGCCTGGGAGGAATAAGCTTCCTCCTTCCTAGAATTCTCCTATTCTTGTTGCATCACCTCTACCTCCTGCATGGTTTTCCCACCTATACTTCCTGCCTGGCCAGTCAGCGTTTATTTAAAACATGATTGACAGAATAAAGACAATTCTCCCATACCACTTCCCCATCCTTTTTTTTAAACAAAGGAAAATATCCATAGTTCATTTTTTGGGGGGAATGTGGGTGTAGTTTTCCAGGCTACTTCCTGCTGGTTGGGGTGCTGATAATCTTATGAAGACCTAAAGAAAATTTAGAGTTATAATCAAGTCCTGACTGGAGTATCCTGTGAGTCTTGATCATCTCAGGTCTTGAAACTTCTGGATGTAGAACTCAGATATCCAGGCCATCTGTTCCTACTGGAGATTTCTCAGGTGGTCTTCCTTGATCAAACTGGATTTTTCTTAATTCAGACTGCATCCACAGCCTCTCATTTTCTGTGGAAACAAAAGCAAAATCTCTTCTCCAATGTGACATACCTTTTGACTTCAATTTTGAAGTCAAGGTATTTTCAAAATACCTTTCTTGGATTAATTTTAGCAACATTTATAAGCAAATATCTTTTGGCAGCTGATGGCTCCTTCCTTAGCATTCAAACAATTCAAAGAGAATATAATCACATACAGTATCAAAATTCTCTGTATTTTCCATCTTTGTGTATCCTTTGTCCTGGAATAATTCTGTAGACCAGGCTGTCCTTGAACTCACAGAGATCCACTTGCCTCTGCCTCCCAAGTGTTGGGATTAAAAGTGTGTGCTATATACAACATCTTGAACTCAGAGATCTGTCTGTCTCTGCCTCCCAGGCATTGGGATTAAAGGTGTGTACTACCACACCTTCAAGTCACAGAGGTCAATCTACCTCTGCCTCCCAAGTGTTTGGATTAAAGGTATGTACCACCACACCCAACTACTCTCTTTCTTCTTTAACAACTTTAACTTTTAGTCTGCATATATTTTTAACATATTGTAAATCATTTAGAGCTTTTCTTCATCTTTGAATCTCTCTTTACTATATATCTCTCTCTTTCTGACCACCTGAGCTTTTATGGAGAGGATAAAAGCCATGGCTTTGATAGCTCAATCCAGTGCATTCCTTAACTTTCCAGCCTCATTGTGGAGGTACTGGCTGTAGCCATGTTTATTGCCACAACTCTATGGCGTTTCAAGGTCCCTGCCAGCAGGCAAGCTGCAGCATTCTGCTCACAAACCACACTCAGTCGAACTGCCTGCCTGAAAGAGTCAGAGTTTGCCCTGGCAGGACAGCCCAGAAAGCCAGCATTTTAAAACAGCGCAGCTTTTTTCCTGCTACAGCTGAAAACTGAAAAGCATGCATTCAGCTTTTCATCAACACCGTTTAAGTGTTTTCTGGCAGGACCTCTTCAAAGAGTTGCAGGGTTTTGCAGCTAAAGCTGCATCAGGTAGCCTCTCTTAGATGAGAGTGCTTGCTTGCCTCTATCAAGCAGAACAGAACCGAGAAATTGCTGCTACCAAGAAACTATGCATAATGCTGTTATATTGTTCTAAAATTACTTCCCAAGTTGTCTCAGGCTTTATGTGGATACAGTTGTCCACACGTTGGCGCCAAGGGTCCCACTCCGATTGCTGCTCCCTTGGGTTTCCCAGTCCATGTTGGTAAAGTCGCTCCTCCCAAAGAGCTAAGCAAATCTTAGTTATTTGTTAGGACAGCTTGCTAGAACATAAGTAATGATTACTAGTCTATTCCTAGCCTTTTCTTTCCATAAGTCCTTGATGCTATGTATAAACAAGGTCTCCTACACATCAAGAAATGAATTTTACTCTTTTCAAAGGAAAAGCCGTCTCTTAATTCTACCCACAAAGTAAATCTGTGCACCTTTTGTCCTTCATAGTTGTGACGTGTGTATTGGACATCCAGCACCACCATCCCGTCTTAGATCTTAGCATAAAGTGTCCAGGCTAAAAGCCAAAGGTTTACTGATTTCTCTCATCATAACCTTGGTTTTTTGTTTGTTTTGGTCTTTTGAGACAGAGCTTCACTTTATAGGCTAGGCTGGTCTGGCACCCACTCTGTAAACCAGGCTGGCCTTGAACTCATAAAATAGGTACCTCTGCCTCCCTAGTCCTGGAATTAAAGGCGTGTGCTACCACCACGAGGAATAACCTTGGGTTTTAAAAAACATAAAACAGATATGGGTTTTTTGTTTTTGTTTTTCGTTTTGTATTTTTCGAGACGGGGTCATGAAGCTCTGGCAGACTTAGAAATCTCTCAGTAGACCAGACTGACCCCAAACTCAGAAGATACCCATCTACCTCTGCCTCCCGAGTGCTGGGATTAAAGGCGTGCGCCAACGGAGGTGGAGATGTAGATCTTAGAGTTTCCTAAACGTCTATAAAAGAATTTTAAGCCACTAGTTTTATGATCTGTGCATTTGCTCTGCTCCATTCCCTAGCCACAGAAAGCAGATCTTGTGGCTGCCAAATTCAGCATCAGAGGAGGGCAGGGGCAGAGGCAGCTATGCTCACAGACTTTCTGAAGTGCCTGCGGGTGGTGCTGCGCCCCTTCTGCACCTAAGCCTGTCACAGCAAACAGCAAGGTCCAGGAGGACCGAAAGCAAACGTAAACGTTTACTTTCTTCGGCGCAAGCGCCCTCGGGCAAGTCCCATTGGTGGTTGTGGGCCTGCGCTTTGGTGCATCCCTGCCCCTTCTTGAGCCTTCTCAAATTCTATTTAGTGTGTTGTCCTCAGTTTCTCACCATTCCCAGACGCTTGGGAGCTTGGGAGGGCGTGGAAGAGGACTTTCTCTGCAGCCCCTTTAACCCCCCGAACTACAACCTAGTCCTTTAACAACACCCAACAATAGCACCGATCTTAGAACCACTTTGATCCGGTTCTCTGATGCTACCAGAGAAAGCGAGAGGAGGGTGGTTCAAACCTTGCTGTTGATTCTGTGCTGACCCGAAAGACAAGCTCATGTTACAATCAAAACATGCGCCTTCGAATGGCAAGTTTCTTCTGCGAGGCTGGTCGCCTGCGCAAACTGTAGAGCCTAGCTATGGCGACTGAACATTCCCCAGCAGAGGGAGCACAGCAGTCGGCCCTTTGCTCTTCCACCCAGCAGGCAGGAGAACCGCAGAAACCCAACTATGCTGTCAGACTTACTCTTGAGGGGTGCTCGGCGGCCATATCATCAGTTAAGTTTAGTCCTAACGGAGAATGGCTAGCAAGTTCTGCCGCTGATACGCTAATTATAATTTGGGGGGCATATGATGGGAAATGTAAGAAAACACTCTGTGGTCATAATCTGGAAATATCAGATGTTGCCTGGTCTTCGGATTCTGGCCGTCTCGTTTCTGCCTCAGACGACAAGACTCTAAAATTATGGGATGTGAGATCTGGAAGATGCTTGAGAACACTGAAAGGGCACAATGATTTCGTCTTCTGCTGTAATTTCAACCCACCATCCAACCTCGTCGTTTCGGGGTCCTTCGATGAGAGTGTGAAAATATGGGAGGTGGAAACAGGAAAGTGCCTCAAGACCTTGTCTGCTCGTTCGGATCCCATCTCTGCCATACATTTTAATTGCACTGGGTCCTTGATAGTGTCTGGGAGCTATAATGGTCTTTGTAGAATCTGGGATGCTGCCTCGGGACAGTGTTTAAAAACACTCGCTGATGACGGCAACCCTCCTGTGTCTTTTGTAAAATTTTCTCCAAATGGCAAATATATTCTCACTGCAACTTTGGACAATACTCTTAAACTGTGGGATTACAGCAGAGGCAGATGCCTGAAGACATACACCGGCCATAAGAATGAGAAATACTGCATATTTGCCAGTTTCTCTGTGACTGGTGGAAAGTGGGTTGTGTCTGGCTCCGAGAACAACATGGTTTACATCTGGAACCTTCAGACTAAAGAGATGCACAGAAGTTACAAGGTCACTCAGATGTTGTGATCTCGGCAGCTTGTCACCCTACAGAAAACATCATTGCATCAGCGGCGTTGGAAAATGACAAAACCATCAAAGTGTGGACGAGTGACTTCTGAAGTCGCTGGCAACCAACCGGTGTGTGAACTACGTCAGAAACAATCAAAAGGGTGACTTCTAAAGTTTGGCGTGGTTTTGTAGCTCCTGTCGAATTGTCTTTGATGTTATGAGTTTGAGACATTTTAATTTGCAAAATGAGACCAGTGTAAAAGCCAGTCTAGGACCTGCGGCTTCTGATCTTAATTTTGAGGCCTGTTGTCAATCTCATGTCTTCGTCCCTGGACAGCATCTCATTCTTTTCCTTTCAGCAGCTTTCTCAGAGGGGAGGGTATTGGAGTATTCAGAAGGTTGACAGAACAGGATGGCTGAGGGGAGGGGGACTTACAGTTTCTGTTTGGGAGGCCACCAAGGACAATAGCATGCATTGAGGGAGGGAAGGAAAGAACCGAAGTTCTACATGTCGTGTGCATATTTTTGGTGTTATTCTATATGATGGACCATCTTATTACCACATTAATCTGTCAAGCTGGGGACAGTAAGTCTGGTCAGGTTCAGTCTACAAGTCTTACACTTCTGCCTGTGTTGTGGTCAGGACAACCCTCAAAGTTAGGCCTCTCCTTCCACTGTGCATTCCACGTAATGAACTCAGGCCAGGTTTTCTTAACAGGCCAGAATCTTAAATCATTTTTGAGAAAGGATCTTGCTCTGTATCCCTGTAGGCCTGGCTGGCTGGAAAACCAGACTGGTCTCAAGCTCACAGATTCACTTGACTCTGCCTCCTTAGAACCTTAAACATTTAACGGGAAAATCTTCTTAAATATTGTATTACATTATACCATTTTGTGACTTTTCAGGCAAATTATATGTCAGGTTCTGGCTGTTAAGTTGAGAGCATAGCCCTAGCCCCTGGCCTGGGAGTTGCTTTGCTCTGGACTCCAAATCCCAGCATGCCAGGTTCTGACACTTCCTCCCACAGAGGGACCACTCCCACAGGGTATTTAAGTGGCCTCCTAGAGGAGAAACAGGTGGTTTTCAGGTTTGCAAGGGCTGCCTGATGTCCTGTCTCCCTGCCATATGCTTGGCCACCCGAGCACATCATTCTTAATAAAATGATGGGCATTTTGATTTGCTTTGATTCGACCTAATTGAATTTCTTGCGTCAGCGAAGCTGCTCTTTTTCTTATCAGTGGCCACTCTTTAGCACTGGGCCTCCTAACTCTTGCCCAACACTATTCAATTCAGAAATCACCTTATCAATACTTGCTTGTCTGCCCTCAGTGGGCAGCTGAGGTAGGCTTTCTAACTTTTCACTGCTTCTAATAAAGCTCCAAGTTTAGTTGCCACCTTGCAGTTGTGATGCCTTCATGGGCCTCATATTTAGTAAAAAAGAAGTACTAAGATCAGGCTTTAGATTTTGTCTTTGTAGCCTTGGCTTTTTCTAGATGACTTGATATTTACTGGGCAATGAATGATGCCATAATTTCATTCCTTACTTGCTGTCAATAAACTTTAGTGATAATTCTCCAAATGCCCCACATACTATCCAAAAGGCAGCTATGCTCAGACCCATATACTAACTGAATCCACATAGGGCTTCTGTAGAAAATATAGAAATACAGATAAAAACCCTAAGATTAAGAAATAATGCTATAGTACTATCACTGAAAGCAACGTGTGCAGAATTTTATCTTCTTGACAAGTTCTGAGAAATATACTTCATATATTTCAAATATATATTTGAATATATATCTTAAATATATTCTCATACATGCTCATAGGGGGTATGATGGTCAAGATGCTGGTGTATTTGATTACATTGCAAGGTGCAAGATCACCAAGGGGCATATCTGAAATTCTGACCAAAAAAATTTAAATTTGGATAGGTGAGATGGCTCAGTGGGTTAAGGTACTTGCTGCTAAGCCTGATGACCTAAAATGTATCCCTGGAACCTGCATAGGACAGAACACATTTCTACAGATTGTTCTTGGACTTCAAAATTTTCTCAGTGGATGGATAGGTACATCCCCTGTCCCAAGATAAAATTAATGTGATAAAACTAAAGAGTTTAAATCAAACCCATAAAAAAAATAGTCATGGTATATTACTGAACAGAGAATTACACACAATAAAAAATGATTTGCATAAATTAGTGGTGTATCTTTATCACAGACTTTAAGATAGACTTCTTGTTGCTCTTCAGTGAAAATGGCATTGCTATATGAAAGAAGTTCTATATTAGGATTTACCAGTATTCAAATCATGGGCTTAAAAGAGTGTCCCAAATTACTCACAAAAAAATCAATTTTTTCCCCCAAGATAAGGGTTCTCTGTGTAACAACAGCTCTGGCTATCCTGGAACTCACTCTGTAGACCAGGCTGACCTCCAAATCAGAGATCCGCCTGCCTCTGCTTTCCAAGTGCTGGGATTAAGAGTGTGTGCCACCACCACCCAGCAAAAATCGGTTTCCTAAAAATGCACAAGAAACTTCTTTTGATAATAAATTTGCAAGTGACAAAAATCAAAGCATTTGTATGTAAAATGAAACAGTATACAGACAACATCAAGACCATTAGATCATGGAGCTATTGGCAACATTCCATTGCAAATGTATTAAGTTCCCAGACAGTGGCACATGGCACTTTTTTTTTTTGTAGATCATGCAGGCCTTGAACTCACAGAGATCCACCTGCCTCTGCCTCCCAAGTGCTGGTATTAAAGGTGTGCTGCCACTGCTCGGCTGGCAGAGGTAATTCTCTGCTACATGAGTTGAAGGCTAGATTAAGACTTTGTCTCAAAACACTAAGCCTCCTTCCTACCCCACCGCAGGGCCCACATGTCAATTTTGTCAATAGTGATGCTGTCACTTAGTGAGTTGACCAGAAGGTGCTACCCACGCAGGCGACCCCTCAAAGGTCCTCACCCACCTTTCCTATGTGAGCAGCAAAGGTAACTGTTTCACACCTCTTATTTAATATGGATTGCAAGATGGTGGCATTCTTTCCCACATCATTTGGTTGTCCATAGATTCAGAATTAACAGGATCATGGGATGAATATTTGCATGAATAAACACACACACACATGCATGCACACACACATGCACACACACACACAGACACACACACACACACACTGGTCCTTACAACCTCCCAGTTGACCTATTTAAAAGCACTGTAAGAAGCACCTGCATCACATGTAATGCTTCAGTTTTCTGTTAGTCCTCAAATGTTTCCATCTTTGGTTAGGAGGGACCTTTGTGATGGCTCCTGAGTTCCTTCAAAATGTGATCAGTGGTTGTTGACAGCTTCCTCCCTTTCTCTGACAACATGTTCCAGACCCACTTTGAATGTTCCCACCCCTGACTTGAAAGGATGCATTCTTTCAAAGGGATCTGGGGAATGTTTTAGAGACCCTGCAGGGACCTTCATATCTCCACTGCTGAGCCTGAGTTAGGATTTCTATTGCTGGGATCAAACACCAAAGCAAGTTGGGGGAAGAAAGGGTTAATTTGGCTTGCATTTCCACATCATAGCCATCACTGAAGAAAGCCAGGACAGGAACTCAAAGAGTGCAGGGACCTGGAGGCAGGATCTGATGTAGAGGTCATGGACAGGTGCTGCTTACTGGCTTGTTCCTCGTGGTTTGTTCAGCCTGCTTTCTTTCTTTTCTTTCTTTCATTTTTTATTTCTTTTTATTTATTCATTTATTTTTTTTCTGAGACAAGGTTTTTCTTTATAGCCCTAGCTGTCCTGGCACTAGCTCTGTAGACTAGGCTGGTCTCAAACTCAGAGATTTGCCTGCTTCTGACTCTTGAATTCTGGGATTAAAAGTGAATGCCACCATTGTCTGGCCAGTCCGCTTTTTTTTAAATAGAACCCAGGACCACCATCCAGGGATGGCACCACCTGCAATGGGCTGGACCTTCCCTTATCAATTACTAATTAAGAAAATGCCTTACAGCCAGATCTTCTGGAGGGATTTTCTCAGTTATGGTTCCTTCTTTCAGATCAGTCTAGCTTGTATCACGTTGACATAAAACTAGCCAGCAGAGAAAAAAAAAATGGATACCTTCCTGAAAGAACACTTTTAAGAAATACATTTTGGGTTCAGATTTGGCTTTACAGAGGAGCTGGCACCAGTGGTTTTGTGTGCTGCAGTGAAGTTTTTGCTGCAGGGAGATGATGAACTGAGAGTTTTGGCGAGCTGGGGAACCACAACATGGAATGGGCTTTGCAGAGCTGGTAATGGTCTGACACCAAGGCCTTTGTGGAGGGATTGCTCCAGAGCCTAAGAACCCAACTCTTGGCGACTGGGCTAGTCCCCATGCCACCCCACCCCCATACCCACCTGTTTCCCTGAAAGCTCAGTGGATCCCTGGAACACAGACTGCTCCAAAACTGAGGGAATCTAAGAGGTAAGTCAGCAGCCACAGGGCCCGACAGCTCGATGTCTCACTCTCTGGGACCTCCTCAGTGGGACAAAACCCAGGGGTCCCTCCCCAACGCATCAGCTTTTCTAGCCAGCAAGCAGGGAGTATTCCTCCCTAACACACCCTGCCCCCAAACCCACCTATTTGTCTGTGAGCTTTGTGGAATCCTGAAACACAGCTTGCTCTAATACAGAGGGCACCTAAGAGACAGCCAGAGCAAGGATTGGACCAAGATGCCAAGACACTGCCGGCCTCATTTAAAGAAAGAGATGGGTCGTCACCAATGCAAGAATTCCTCCAACATCCTAAAAAGCTACACGGTAACGCCATAATCCAGTGGACACTCAAAAGGAAGACTTAATCATCCTAACCTAGAATAAGTAGAAGAAAACGACTTTAAACGTAACTTTATGAAAATGATGGAGACCTTTAAAGAGGAAGAGAAAAACTCCCTTAAAGAAATAAAAGAGAAGACAAACAAAAAGTTGGAAAATTAATGAATCCCTCTAAGAAACTCAAGAAAACCAAGATAAAAACAACCAAACAGGTGAAGAAAACAGTTAAAAACTTGAAGATTGAAATAGAGGTAATAAAGAAAAACACAAACTGAGGGAACTCGGGAAATGGAAAATCTGGGTAAATGAACAGGAACTACAGAGACAAGTATAACCCACAGAATACAAGAGATAAAAGAAAGAATCTCAAGCGCTGAAGATGCTACAAAGGAAATAGACTCATTGGTCAAAGAAAACATTAAATCCAACAAATTCTTAACACAAAACATTCAGGAAATCTGGGACACCATGAAAAGACCAAACCTAAGAATAATAGGGGTAGAAGGATAAGAACTCCAGTTCAAAGGCACAGAAAAGATATTCAACAAAATTATAGAAGAAAACTTTCCCAACCTAAAGGATACACCTATGAAGGCACAAGAAGCTTACAGAACACCAAATAGAATGGCTAAAAACAAATCCCCTCACCATATAATAATCAAAACACAAAACATACAGAATAAAGAAAGAATATTAAGATCTGCAAAGGAAAAAGGTCAAGTAACATATAAAGGTAAACCTATCAGAATACACCTGACTTCTCAATGGAAACCATGAAAGCCAGAAGGTCCTGGATAGATGTGCTGCAGCCACAAAGAGACCACAGATACAATCCCAGACTACTATACCCAGCAAAGCTTTCATTCACCATTGATAGAGAGAACAAGATAGTCCATGACAAAAACAGATTTAAACAATACATATCCACAAACCCAGCCTTACAGAAAGTAATAGAAGGAAAACCTCAACCCAAGGAAGCTAGCTAACTACACCCACAATAACATAGATATCCGATAATCCCCCAACAGCATAACCCAAAGAGTGGAAACACACAAATGCTACTACCGAAAGATAAGCAGAGCTAACAACCACTGATCATTAATATCCCTTAAGATAAATGGTCTCAATTCACCCATAAAAAGACACAGACTAAGAGAATGGATATGAAAACAGGATCCAGCCTTCTACTGTTTACAAGAAACACACCTCAACCTCAAAGACAGACACTACCTCAGAGTAAAAGGTTGAGAAAAGGTTTTCCAATCAAATGGACTTAAGAAACAATCAGGTGTGGCTATCCTAATATCTAACAAAATTGATTTTGAACTAAAATCAATCAGAAGAGATGGAAAATGACACTTTATATTCATGACAGGAATAATTCATCAAGATGAAGTCTCAATCCTGAATATCCATGCCCCTAATATAAAAGCACCCACATATGTAAAAGAAACATTACTAAAACTTAATTGTACATCAACCCTCAACACACACACACACACACACACACACACACACACACACACACACACA